TCTGTTAACTTAAAAACAAATTAATTTTATGATTTAAAATATGTAATGATTATTTTAAAGAAAKTTATCAAGCTTAATGTCAATGTGACTTTTTAGGAACATCCTTGTACCTTTTTAACATGTATCTGCAAGACTTAAGAGAGCAACATGTGACTCATGTTGTCTGTTGAGGAATGTTCATGGGTTGACTGGGTTATTTTAGTGCTTTAGAATTAGGGGACCTAAATATATGAGTCAGTGTTTTAGGGCTGGTGAAACTAATTTTTAGATTAGTGCTGCCCACCACTGATAATGCTGACCAACCAGGAAACTATAAAATAAATTAAACTGTTTATTGTCACTTTTATGAGTAAAATATATTCTTTTTTTCATTGACAACTAAAGAAACATATTTCCTAGTCAGGCTGAGGGTGGACTGGGTTAAGCTGCAAGTATTTGTCATTTAACCGTTTGCTTTTAACCAAGTTAGTTAACTCACTTTCTTTAAATTAACAGCAGAGCTGGATTTCGTTATCCTCAACTGTTGAACTAATATCAGAAAAATRTATAAGATAAATGAMTGTCCTGATGCATCTCAGTAATCCAGGTAAAAAATCAAAAAGAAAAAAAATTGTATAAATGCATAAATGAATGGTCCCCAAAACACGACCCTGGGGTACACCAAGACAAAGTGATGCTGTTCAATGTATTTCAATTTTTAAAACACTAAAAGGTCAGTTTAATAGTTATGATCAGAACAGATTCGAACAACTTCATCTGATTCTGAGTCTATTAAAACCTTGTGATCAAACATTATCAAAGGCAGAAGAAGGATTTCAAAATCCTAAACTTTTCTAGATTTCTTAAACGATTTTTGGTCATTTTGGAAATCTAAGGACCAAGATTTGAACTTTATGAAATGGTACAGAAAAGGTAGAAAGCAGGAAACACAGTGACATTTCTGAAAAAAACAAAACTAGATTATGAAAAGATAATTTTATATTTCTCATGACTGTATAAAACCTGGACAGATAAAAGCAGATTATTAGGATTGATGCGTTTATTATAATTTGAGAATTGGCTTTTGTCACTGCTGTTCTCTCCACTTCTTTGTTTTTTTCCCTCAGGTGTACGCTCGTTTCGCTGTGCAGTATTTCAGAATCCAGCCTCAGCCCGCCTCCAGCGATGATAAATTTTCTCATGACAACAGCAACTTTGCAGAAATTTCCCAATTTTCTTTATAAACCATYGTCATGCAAATGAAACATGAAAGYTYTGTTCCTTTTTTCTGCAGCAAACCTAAGATAACAGTGCAAACTTGTTTACATCAAGATTGTTGTTTGTCCCCTTTAAATCTTATATCTGCTGCTGTGTTTTACAGATATTCAGATTAAAAGTTTGTAGTTTAATAGTTTGTGTTGCTGGTTTTATGTTGTCACAGAACAATGTGTCATTTTTTAAACACTACAGACAACGTATCATTTAATTCTTATCTAAACAGCTCAAAACTTAATAATTTCATAGATTTTTATATAAAATATTAATATATTTTTGCTACAAATGGACCTTTTTACAGTGTTTATTGAGGCTTTATTTGTGAGTCATGAGTGTCAAACTTTTAAGGTCTATGGGCCAAATGTGGCCGGCGAGAGAACTCTGTCTGGCCCACCAAAGGGCCCCACCCCCTAAAAATATTTATATTTCATTTTTTTACTTGATTAATTTTGAAAATAATTTTTACATTAATGTCTACACTCACCGGCCATTTTATTAGGTACACCACGCTAGTAACGGGTTGGACCCCCT